CTGTACATTACAAAAATATTTTTAAAATGTGCGCTCGGTAGGCGTCGGACAATTCATAAAATAATACTTTAAAAAAATCAAACGGTTTAGCCGCAAACTTCCGTGCCATATAGCGTGAATAACCCTGTACAGGGTGTCCCGTAAGCACATGACCAAAAGGGTAATGCGATATTCTTTGGATAAAAGAAAACGATCTGACCTGACTTTTATTAACAAAAAATGTCTGGCTCATCTGCTATTGACGGTCAAAGTTCTTCAAAAAATTTTCATTTTCGAAATATCGGGGGAATGGTACGATATATTTTGGTGAAACTCGCTGTCAATTTGTTCTTATGTAAGACTCATATTTTGATGAAACAATCGAGTTCAGCCATTTTGGACAAGTGGTGAATTCTTGAGTGTCGTGGTACAAAAACTACCAGAACTTTTTATTTGATGGATGGAATCGATTCATTTTTTTTTGGTTGATGCATTAATCATTTGTTCACAATTTTGTGCGCTTTGTAAAATCTTGTAGCATTCATAGTTTTTGCGCAATAAAGTATGTCTGTTTTCTTGCCGCTTAACAAAGTTGGACATTAACTTACATTACATTAACATTAAAGACTTAAAAATTTCAGAATTTTCCAGTTTCAGTCAAGTTACTCAGTGTGTGCAAGCTTCCTTCTTTTCTTCTAAATACTCCATTTTCTAAAGTTTCACTTAAAAATGCTGCCAAATTTAACGCATCTTCCGTGAAAAATTATGAAAAAAATTCGAATCTGGTCGCTTTGTAAAAAGTTTTAAATACTTTTCCAGCGTCGAATTTCAAACAAAAATCAAATATTTTTCCATTAAAAACCGAACAGGATAAGCGAAAGTTTGTAACAGATTATTTGGAAATCTCGTCACCTCAATTTCTCTGAAGACTGTAAAGTTTGTTAAGAAAATGTGGTTTTTTAGGTTTGACTTAATTTTTTTGTTTCACTTTCTACTCAATATCTCTCTATTTTGTGGAGTTTCACTTAAAAATACGGACGATCTGGAGGTATTTTACGTGAAAAATTGCAAGATAAATGTATAGCATTGTAAAAATTTTACAAAAACTTTTTTCAGCGTCGAATTCGAGGCAAAAACTAAAGTAAATTCCTCCCGTTTTTCCCCGAAAACCATTAAGATTTTCTCTAAAACCGATCACAAAAGTAAAAGTTTTTAATCGAAAACGCAAAAAAAAAACATTATTTTCTGATGGTTTCCTTCTTTTGTGACAATAATGCCTTTTCAGACTAAAATTACAAAATTAATTTTGCCCGAAAATTCGCCTCATTCATCAGTTTGCAGGGAATTTTAGAAAACCCTTTTCAGCTTCGAATTTGACCGAAAAACGAAATAATTTTATTCAGTTTTTTGCTCATTGCTCAAGCTCATTCTAGTTTTAACAAAGTTTCTATTAAGCAATTCTTTCTACGCAAAAATTGCATTATTTTTTAGTGTTACTTAACATACTGGCAATCTTCAGATATTTTATGTGAAAAATTATAAGATAGATTTTAACCTCCTTAACCGCTTTGCAAAAACTTTTGGAAAACTTTTTGCATCTTCGAATCATGGACAAAACCCTAATAATTAATTCTGGGTTCTTTTCCAAAAATATTTCCCCGAACTAAAAAATCGAAAGTTTATAATCATTTACTGGGAAAACTCTTGGGGACTGAGGTTTCTTCACTTTTAGGTCAATACTTCTAATCAACACTGTCACTAAACAGAAAAACCGGGTTTTTCCTAACGTTTTACTGTAAAATACTGGCAAACTGTATATTTTATGCGAAAAATTAAGAGATCGATTTTACAAGAAAACCCGTCGCCTTTTTTTGGACTCAGTTCTGTTGCTGGAGAAATCTAGACGACTTTTATTAGTTGTTTGTTCAAAGTAGTAAAACGTTATTCAGAAAAAATGTTGACTTTTTTAGCTTTTTTTAAATTACTTATAACTCATTAACCGATGAGTAAAACTCAGAGAGCGGCAACAACTCAATAGCGCAACTCAACACAGTGTTACCTAGGCCTACTTTAAGTATAAAATATTATTTGTTCTATACCTAAATAAGGGTATCTATTTAAAAAATATGGATTATTAATGTTTTAAAATTGTTTCTGCAAGTGACGGACAATTGCCCATCACCTTATGACGCTAGCAGTTGCTATATCACGAAAACGGCAACCACAAGTGAAATCACATTCACAGGTTAAATTCACAGTTAAAAAAATCGCATTCGCAGTCACTTTATTCTGTATTGTACCGCCACCAAAGGTTTAAAAAACATCCAACAATATTAGGAAATTAAGTTCAAAATTGTACGGATGGCATTTTCATAATCTTCGTGATTATTATTTGCCATTTCCATATCCCAAGAGTGAAAATCGTCTAGGTCGCATTCGGACTCGGCATCATCGACCCCTAAAAGTTGGCATTCGTGAAATTCCTCACTTATAACAACGCAACGGATTTAAACCACCAGTTGTGAATATCCATCCTCTTTCCTTTCTGATTTTTAAATCAGCCGATACTCTGATTAGCTTCAAATTACTGTAATTCTCCTTAAACCATTTGATATCAGTCTTTCGTCTTATATCGCTTACAATCCACAGTCTTCTTGTTGGTGCTGAAATTTACTAACTATTTGCGTTTTTCCGAAATTTACAAATTACACCAGGTTATTACGGTATTTTGGAGATAGAGCGCCAAAATCATTGGAAGCAAGTTGCGTGTTTTTCAAAGATTTTCGAAGTTTTTTCAAATTAAGAAAGTAATTATACTCGTATAGTAATTAAACTTTGGATGGTATTTAACGTTTCAAACCAGTTTACCTGATTTGCTAGCTGCTCTGCAAAAGTAACCCGGATCCTCCTTTCTGATTTCGTCGCTCCAAGTTATCATATTTAGTCTGTGTTGTTCTTTGTACGGTCCATCGCTCATTAATTCATTTATTTGCAAATTATGATTTTGTGCGAATAACTGTTTCAATGGGCCGGATATGCGTACTATACAACAGTTGTCTTCTCCTATTCTAAAATTTCATTTCGTGTAAAAAAGCTTGAATAGCCAAACTATCTGCTGGACTCGATTTTCGCAGAGAAAGGTAACAGCCAGACTATTTTACTCACATGGATTTAAGCTTCTCACAAATGAAATCTTTACCAGATTTACGTTTTCCACTGAATAGCAAGATGTGTTTGGGATTCTCCATTTTCACTATTTTAATTTATTACTGATTCTTAATTCCGCTCTGAAATGTAGAGGTAGTTATTTTTTATGTATTTTTGGTGTACCTTATTATTAGAAAGAAACAAATTTACTTTAGAACTTTACTTAGAAAGATATTATTGGAAAATAAAAAAAACAAAATGTTATCGAAAGACACTTACAAAATTGGTACCGCTGCACGATGCTTTCATATACGATTAGAATATTAAGTGGTTCCAATTATTTATAAATTATCATATACATTAAAACATGTCTTCTTCACTTGCACGTTATATATCAGATGCAGAAAATGTCTTTAAATAATACTTCTTTTGCAATTTATTAGGTTTTTTCAACAAATTTGCTCTCGGTTTAAATATTTAGGTTGGGACCGTATAAATAAGGAAATGATTGTTGGCATAGATAAGGTCACTGCCACATTCTATCTAATCTACACAGTGATTTTCTAAATTAATAAAAATCACTGAATCTACATGTGCATTATTTCATGACATTTTGGCAATTTTCGCACCCCCATAACGAAACGTTAATAAACTGAAGGAATTTCAGTGGAATCTGAGCAATTTTGAGCTGATTTTTCAAAAATAAACTTTGAAACCAGGCGAATAAGCGGCGAAAAAATACTGGTTGGAGCCGAACACGAACCGAAAAGCGCGTAAAATGAATTTCCAGGATGGAGCCAATTTCGAAAACACTAAATAAAAGACTGTAAACCCAGCGTAATATTTTTGTTAGCTGATGGAAAATTAATTTAATTATTTAATTAAGATGTACTAATTAGTCCATCTTAATGAGTGAATAGTAGGCAAAAACCCATTTTCACTAAAAAAAGTTCTTGATAAAATACGATTATAGTTCATAATTATTGCATTAACCACAGTAGAGAATAGTTCGAAAATCGATTTCTTCAAGGATATAAATAGTATGTATACAAAAAAAATAGCCCGATTTTGTGCCGTCACATCCCAATAGACTTTTAGCATCTGGCTGACGATCTGACGCATTGCGTTACATAACCACACTTGTCCGGGGGTACTGAGTTTACAAAAATGAACGAGAAAAAAGCAATTTTAAAGTTAAAGTGTTTGTTTTAGACCTGCGAGTCGTCCTCTACGTAAAGTGCTTGATTTAAGGTCTACTTTAGATGGCAAAGAAAAATTCACCATGGCGAGAAAAAAATACCTTTCAGGATCACTTAGCTTTTACTTTTAGGGCGAAGTCTTCAGTCGGCCTTACTTTATAGGCTCGATTGATGGCTGATCTACACCCTAATACTGGTATTCTAGTCAATATATGCAGAATGAAGAATTGCATTAAACTGTCAGTGGGGGGCACACATTAGCCCCCGTTTAACAATGAGGGGCGGTTCTACTTTGTAAAATACACGGTTTTGGGCTGTTCTTAGAAATCACATGTGCAAAAAAGTGCATTTGGGATAGTGGTATTTCCACTACGCCCAAGTAACTACTAACTTAAAAACGAAAACATGTGTTGAATAGATTGGCTGTTTTTCTGTACTTTTAGGTCAATAAGTTGCCTAAGTATAGTTAAATGAACCGATGAGGCTCCATTTGCTTAGTAACTGCTGTTTTAACTACAATTATGCCTTTTCCGAACCGAAGCAACTAAAATAGATTCAGACGCAAAAATGCCAGTCTTGAAGGCGCAGAAAAATTCCATTAAAGGGACTAGACGTAGTGTGATTCAAGCAATAAAATATTTGTACCAACCGGGTTTTATTTGGGCAAAATTCCTCTATTATCAGTCGTTAACAGATAAACTGAAAGTTCGTTGAGTTGAGAATTGACTAATAGTGTGTTTTTCCAGCTTTAAACCCAGTCAAAAAATCCCCACAATATCCATTTATGGCGACTTCTGATGCTTTGCAGCGCCCAGGTAAATCTCCGACCCAAATTTGAATGGTGACTAACTAACAAACTTGTTGCAGATTACAGCGCAAAAATGCTCAATCTTCTACTGCAAGTAAAATATCAGAATGATGAAATACTTTCGCTACTCAAAACGCCGTTATCAACATCGCTTCTGACCAGAAAATTACCCGAGGATATTCCAGTGAGTTTTCCCATTAGATCGATTCACGATATATTCACCCTTGAGGAATATTTAAAAAACAATGAAAAAGCTGCCGAGTTGGTGAGAAATACTCAAAAAATCTGTATTGTGTGGTGTCATCAAACATTTTTTAATTTTTCAGGCGAGTTATTGTGCTACGTTCGGGGGCAAAGAGCTAGTTTCCAAAGTTAATATAATTTTAAAGTATATGTTATCCAATGAAGTGGCGGCTGAATTCAGTTTTCTTGGTACGCGAAATGGCAAGCGACCGTTTTTCAATTTGGCCCTTAGAAGCGTCATTATCAGTAAGTGTTTTTTAGCATCTAGATTTGATTAAAGTAGTTATATTTAAATACTTGTAGGTGCAATAAGTTTCACCTTAGACGCTAATGTAACTGATATTGACAATTGCATCAAAGTCTGGCTGAAACACGCACCAAGACGATTTATGGCGGCAGAGAGTAAAAGTGAAACAATTTAAGTAACCTTGCGTTTTAAGGAAGTTTTCTACACTGTTCATATATTGTTTTATATTATGAATTTGGGAACCGATACTGAGAGCTGAGGGTGTAATTTAACCCTCAACATAAAAACCTAGTGATCTACGCTGAAACAACTGGCTACTGTTCTTTTAAAGTAATTCTCACCCTGTTAAGATCGGAACTTTTCTCACAGGGATTGTGTGATTTCGATTGCTATTTGCTCACAGTTTTCAGTCTATTCTAAAGTACCTAATCAATGAAAACTGTATGTTTTTTTTTTAAGTTTGTCTTTGGCAATAGTTTTATACATTCAATGAACTTTCCGCATTCCAAAAAACTGAGTTGAGTTTATACTGGTTTGTCAGTTCGTTTTCTTCATGTAGCCGAAGTATTTTTTGTGTAATTTTATAACAGAATCGGCACTAAATTGTTAAATATATTAGGGAATTTTGTTTCTAGGACGTAACATGAGTTAATGGATATATTTTCTTTATGAAAGAAAGAATAAATTCAACAACTCAATCTGTAAGATTTTATTTCGATCCTAACATTGATGGCTTTATTATACAGGGTAACCCGTAAACACTTTTATTAAGAAAAAATGTGGGGTTCCTCTGCTATTTATGGTCAACTAGTTCAAAAAATTATGCTTTCCTGAGAAATGAGGGAGCAAATCCAGAAAAGTTCATGCAAATTGAAGGTCTGGTTGAATGTGAAAAAAATTGGAAATTTTAAAGTTCTAACTTGTTTCAGAACCAAAAAGCTTTCAAAATTCCCAATTCGAAGCTGAACTGAGCAGAAACCTAAACTTTTGTATGTTAATTTGAGACGCCTTTGAGTGCGCAAATCGTGAAATTTTCAAGCAAATCCAAGATCCGGCTGATTTGGAAAAAAGTGAAAGTCCTAGTACGTGACGTGATTAAAAGCAAATAATATTCGAAAGAATCCCAACTCGAAGCTCATCTGAGCAGAAACTTGAACTTTTTTTATATTGAATGAAGACATTCAAGTCTGAAAATTCCAATCATCATGCAAATCGAAGAACGGGTTGATTTAGAAAAAAATTTAAAGTTCTGAAGTTGTAAGCAGGGGCTTGCTTTAAAACAAAGAAGTTTTTATTAAAATTCCCAACACGAGTAGATATTTGAATTTTCTTGCAGTGCATTTTCTGAACATATTTACATACATACATACATATTTAAATTATTAAAAAACATACATTATTAAAAAGTATCAAGTCCATATGACGTTAAAAAAATTTTGTGATTTTGATGTAATGATGACGTGAAACTACGTCATTGTTACGTTCGGTTCTGGCTAGTTAAAGAAAACTCAGCTGAAAAAAAAAAACATAGATATAAAGGTGAAAAGCATCAGCAACCTTTTGCTAGGAACTTGCTACAATTGCTAGTGACAAATTTTTCATTAGTCTATTAAATAACTATTATTTAATTCAAGGCGTATAACCAAACGGTAGTTATTTCTCTCCCAATCTTAACATTTTTATAATTTAAAAAAATTAATTTAGCTAAATTATATTAAGCTTCGATTGTCGATTTCGGTGCAAATCCCTACACGGTAGACTACTTTGCCTGCCATAATCATAATCAAGATGGCCGCAATAATATTTGTTTTTCCAAGTTAAAGAATTTAAGTTCATTTAGGTGAAGAGTGAATTAATTTTTTCATGAAATGCTCTAACGAATGCTCAGTTCATCGGGGTGGCTGTTGATTTTGGTTGCTCAGTTTTTTCGACCTTTTCGTATTATTTCCGTTTTGATGCATTCACATAACAGTACAGATTTGTGCAGTTTATTGTCGACCTGAAGACAGGAAGAATTCGGTAAATGGCTGCTTCAAGAAGCGATATTGAGGAATTCCTGAGTGGACCTCTTGTCAAGTGGGTGAGTTTCTCTAGATAAATTGTACTTACAGCTACTGCAATTAGGTAGCTGGACGATGTACTTTAACTAACACTTTTTGTGCATCTCTGGACTTGATTGCTGAATTTTGATAGAACAATTACTTGAAGCGAAGAGTACTGGGTTTATCTGCCCTTAAACATAGAGGAGTTGGATAATTTACTAGTTCATGAGCCAAGGGCGGTCGAGGTTAAAGATAAGCTTACCGTGTAGATGATCCTTAACTAACAACTTTTTTTAGAGGTGTTTTTTGGGCAAATGCGTTTTTCCATCAGTTTTCGCTCGTTTAAATTCGCTAGTTTTCCATTAGAAAACAATGAAAACCAATGACGTCAGTGCTCCCTGACAGGAACATCTGGGACGTCACGCTGACGCAGTTCAAAAAAAGTTGCGCCTTTTCCAAACTGACCTATAATTTGTTTCGATATATTTGTAATTTTTTTGCCAATGTTGTTTAAATAATGCTAAATTGTTAAAACTATTGATTTTTCCCGGTAAAATGCGTTTTCCCATCTATTTTCACTCGTTGAATCTCGCTAGTCTTCCATTAGAAAACAATGAGCACCAATGACGTCAGTGCTCTCTGACAGGGACGTCAGGGCTCCCTGACAGGGACGTCACGTTGACGCAGTTCAAAAAAGTTTGCGCCTTTTCCAAGCTTAAATATAATTTGTTTAGATGTTGTTTTATTTTTTGTTAATGTTGTGTAAATACTGCTAAATTGTTAAAACTATTGATTTTTCCCGGTCAATAACAGAACCTTTCCAGTTACATTAACCACAAACTGTTATTAATTCGCACTTTCCAGTTATCAACCTGCGTGAAAAAACCGGAGACCCTGCAGGTGTACGAGACGTTTTTCGATGGAGCCGCAATAAACGAGGTTCTGTTGCAAATTGATCCAGAACCCTCGCTGCCGGTACCTTCCCCGGCCAATTTGCAGGGTTTTCATATAACTGCCGCCAGAATAAAGATATTTCACTGTATTATCAGGAATATTAAAAGCATCTACGAAGATGAGCTGCGGCAGGTAATCGTAAGTCTTCCCGACTGTGTAACACTTGGTAAGAATCTCAGACCATCAAAGTAAACCCAATGAAATGATGGGAATTTTTGCAGGTAGAACTCCAGCCTCAGAGCAGGCATTAACTCATTTGAAGTTGCTGGTTCTGCTTTTATTAGGTTGCGCCGTTCAAGGACCCACGAAAGAAACATTTATAGCCCGAATCAAAGAGTTGGATGTCGATGTGCAACATGATATTGTTGCCTGCATTAAACAGGTGCATTTTGTCTCCAAATGCATTCAACACCCATGTTAAACGTCCCCATTTCAGATTACAGATGGGCAAAACCTTGTTTTAACAACTAATTGGACGGAACAAGCGCCTCAACAATTATACACTCACGTTAAGGCTTTGACTGCTGAGAGGGACAAGCTTTTGCAACAATGGGTTATAGATTTAGGTAGATTCTTAACAGATGTTTATAGAAAGACAAGATTTTTACTATATTTTTATTAGGGCAGGAAAATATCAGTGGTGTGGAATCAGGCAGAAGTTCCCAGGAAGGTGTGGAGTCCAGTCACTGGGCTGTCGAATTGGCAGACTGGAAAGCCCGGCTAAGAAAACAGAGACAGGAACTGTAAGTTAACAGTTCAATTCTAAAATTTCGTAGTCAAACATTGTCAACATTTCAGCGAGGAAAAAACCGAAATTCTAGCAGAGTATAAGGAGGAATTGGAACATGCGACAAACTTGGTGACCAAGTTGAAAGCCGAGGTGATACGAACATAAAAATATAAATCAACCTTCTACTACCGAAACGCTTTTACAGAACAGTGAATTGTTGACTGAAGCGCGTAAAGCCAAAGCTTACAGAGATGAGGCGGACGCAATGCGAGAGCGGGCCGAAAGAGCGGACAGATTCGAGCTGGAAATTCAACGATACAGAGAACGTCTCTCTGATTCCGAATTTTACAAAGTTCGAGTCGACGAACTGCGCGAGGACAACAGGGTGCTGCTGGAAACAAGAGGTTAATAACAAAAATAGATTGCTTTTTTGCATCATTTTGGGCATTGATTTCTGTTTAGAAATGCTGGAAGAGCAGCTGGTTAGAGCACGCCAAAGAGGCGACCAAGTTTTAGAACTGGAGGCGGAACTGTTGGCCGCCAAACAGCGCATCAATGAAGCAATTTTGGTAAGGTGACAAACTATATCACAATGTATGAGCAACAAACAACTAAAACATATATCGTATATGGGTAATGAAACTGGGGAATTTGCTTTGTTTGCAGGAACGGGACATTGCCCGTGAAAAGATTCAAGAATTGGCTGATGAAAATCTTCAGCTGCAGCAAGTTGCAAAGTCAGCCTTGCAAGAAACCAGCTTGGGCAATATCTCAATGGATTCAGACATGGAAGAGTCAAATTCAGGAGATAATAGCCTTTCTGAGCAATTGACCAGCAATGCTCAAGCGCGCGCCTTAAAACTAGAACTGGAAAACAAAAGTAAATGTCCAAACTTTACAGAACGCCCTTAACGGTTTTCAATTCCAGGACTTTTAAGCAAACTTGACTCCTTAAAGGAGGATAGTTTTCATGAAACCGCTGATAGAATCCTGGAGTTGGAAAAGGAGAAGAAAAAGTTGCTGTTGAAGTGTGAGCAGTTTCAAGAGAACTGCGATCGATTGACCCAGCAGAATGTTGAGTTGGAAAATCTGTTCAAAAACGCCATTCAAGAGAACCGGAAGGTGCAAAATTCGATGGATTCGTTAAAAATCGTTTCCGATCGACAATACCAAGAAATTCAAAATGAAAAGACGAAAATTGCTGATTTAGAACGAAACATCGACAGCCTATCAAAGGAAAAGCAGCGAGTACAAACACTGTGCGATGTTGTGAAGAAACGGGCTGACGATGCTGAGAAATGTTTAAATCAAACCTCCGAACAGTTGCAAGCTTTACAGGTAGGAGCACTTGCGGGGTTTCGAGTGAACACCGCTCAACTCAATTTATCTCTTACAACCAGAAAGAAGTGGAAAAGGGAGAGGAGGCGGAAAAACTTGGCCACGAATTGCAGGACAAGGTAACCAGTCTGGAAAAAGAAAATGCCAACCTTCTAAAAGAAGTTGCCAAATTGAGGGAAGTTATCGAAACCAAGGAAGTCACTCTGGACAAGAACGTCGAAGAGAAGCAAAAGTACGAGCGTGAGATCAAAAAGCTGAACGCGGATACCACGAATTTAGTTGTGCAAATCGAAAAGCTGCAAGAATTTGAACGAAAGTCTACGGAACTGATTTCAAAGGCTTCTGTTTATGCGGAGACTATTGCGGATCTGCAGAAGGATCTGATCAGTGAAAAAGTAGGAGGGATTTATTTCATTCTTTTTGGTGTGCAACTAAAGGAAAACATTACGTGTTTCAGGTCGGCAACGAAAAGTTCAAAACTAGCCTGGACAAACTGGGATTGAATCTGGACATTTTAGACAACGACGTCAATATTATTGTTGAGAAAATCTTGCAAAATGGTGACATGTTCAAATGCCTTCAGGCGGTGTTTAAAGAAAAAGAAACTGTTCGTGAAGCCCCTTGTTCAGCGTGCCATTTCGAAGGCGACGCCCTGAAACAAGTACGTTATCCCTTTCAGCTAATTTGATTGAAATTGTATCCACTCAATTTTCACAGGCAGAGGAAGTGGCAAAATCCATTAGCAAAGAATGGAGTGAACAATGTGATAAACTATACGCGGATATTGCTGCTTTGCAAGCAGCTAATGATGTTCTTCAAAACGAGAATGCCACGTTGAAAGTGGATATTTCTACTTTGAAATCGGAGGTGCATTCATTGCAGGCTCAGCAAACCGCCCTGCAGTTAGCCAATAGTCAACTAGTCGCAGAAAAAGACGACGTCTGTAAAAGCTCCTACATTTCTTATTTGCAAACGAATATTTTTCTGTTTTAGTTGTCCAAGCAGCACTCGCAACAAAACCGGGACAGAGAGAAAATTTTGCTGGATCAAGTCACTATGAGGACATTGCATGAGCAGCTTGCGAACGAATACGAAGAATTAAAACTGGAGCAGGAGAATCTGCGGAAAGTTAATAGGGATTTGCGGTCAGAAATCAGGGGTTTGAAAGAACAAAACGATTGCCTGGAAGTGAAGGTGTCGAATGCCGAACTGGAAAAAGAGAACCTCAGAGCAGACACAATCAATTTAAATAATCTAAGAGCGGAACATTCCAATTTGGAGGACGACTTTCGGTTTCTGTTCACTGCCAGCGAGCGCCTGAACACCAAATATAAGAACGTCCAAGACGAACTGAAAGCTTTAAAGATGGAATCCCGAAACTTGCGTCTCAGTCAAACGGAAATACAGGGAGAACTCAATTCTAGGTCGGATGTTGTTGCAGGACTGCACCTGGAAAATGCCAAATTGCGACAGCAATGTGATGTACGACGAACGCTACTAAAGGGCTGAATACATTTTGAAGAATTTTGGGTTTCAGATTTTACTTGAAATGAACCAGTCTTTAGGTTCGGATCGCAGATCGTTGATGGATCATGTGTCGCAACTGTTGGCACAGTATCATTCTTTGCTAACGCATTCACTGGAAGACCAGCAACAGTTCCATTTGGAGGAGAAACAGTATACGGAAAAAGTCAACAACTTATGCAGGCAAAAGGAGAAATTGGAGGAGAAAATCATGGAACATTACCGAAAACTTGACAACGCATCAGCCAAAAAGTTTGTGGTTTATCGCAATGGGTTCAAAAATTCTTATGCATCGCATTTTTCAGGAAAGGTTTTGGAGCCACGTTCGTCAAGAGAGTGCGAAAAGCGGGGTCTGATATTATCAGCAAATCAAGGGTGAGCTCATGAAATTAGCAGGTTGAAGTTAATCAATAAACTGTTTGCGGGAATTTTAGAATCATCGGTCTTGGCATGAGGATGCTACTCGACTTACTCAGTCGCAATACACTCTAGCCGGTCATGGATCGGGCGAATCAGATAACAGAGACTCTGATAACAGCACTGAGGAAATGTCAACCAGTAACCAAAGAAATAGTTCCAAAACACTAGAACCATTCCGCAGGAACACCACAGGAACGGGCAGCTTACGCGATTATAAACCCAGGGACGACTCAGCCAGGGATTTAAGTATGCATAGGAGTAGTATAGCAGGTAATTTGCGTTTGGCAACTAATTTATTGGATATATTTATTCACTCCAACAAGCAGGGATTTACGAGTTTGGGTTGAGGCTGGCAGAAAGCTTTTATTTGGGTTTTTTGTTTCAAATCGGGGGATTTTGGAAAGACCGATTTGCCGCCTGTCCTTTTGCAAAGTGATTTTTTACACATATAAAAAAAACTAATTTCTCATCAAGGGGTTAGTCGATTTTTTTACAAATTGTTAATGAGTTTTTCATTGAAACCGGAACAGTATGTTATATTTAAAAAAAAAACTAAAAAATTCAAAATTCGAAAAAACTGAAATTTTGTTTAATTTAATGTCACTGCTAGAGCTTTAAGAACGAATAGAATTTTGTAAGAAAAACTTTTTTTTGCAATTCTTTGTCTTAAACTTATTTGCCATAAACTTTTTCAGTAGTTGGGATCATGAGAGCTCTAAAAGGGAACAGAGTGGCTTAAATCTTGAAATATCTTAAAAGCGAGTTGTCATTAATATAAAATAAAAGGAACCGATTCAAAAGTAAAATTAAATATACGGGATAAAGGACAAAAAATACATAAATGAACATGTACAGAAATTCACTAATTTTTGATAAGTGACCTTATTTATGCTTGCCTCTCTCTATCATTGTTAAATGTGTTTTTCTAATATTACCGTTAAATCAATATGTGTTTTTGTCTCTTATATTTAAATTTATTTTTGTAACGGGTCCTTTCATATTTTAATTTGCTGCTCTAAAAACTGCTCAACAAAATTAACGTTTCTCAGCCAAATTTGCTTGAACTTTGGAACTGGATAAATTCTGATTGCTTCGTCCGATTTGGCTTCTGTTTCACGCGTTATTTAGCACCATTTGTGTTCTGTTAGTCCATGGCGTGGTAAAAAGTAAGCGCCTCAGATACATTTTCTACATGGTGGCAAATGGAAAAATGCAAATTTTGCAAAGTTCAATATGCTCCTGGTGGGGCAAAAATCAACGATTTTTGGATCTCGACGCAAAAAGTTTAAAGATTAACCAAATAACTCGAAACGGATTTTCGGCTCTCTTCTATTTACAGGGTGGTCTCAAAAAAGTCAACTTTTTGGACTTGAAGCGATCACTTTTCGGCTCTTGAATTTTACGATCTACCGCTCATGTTGAAGCTAAACCTTCTTAGACTGTTGATGACAAAAATTCACTATACGGGGTAGCACAAAAATGACCCAAAGCAGATTTGCCCCTGAAATCTGTGATTCTATCAGCCTTTCAGCTACGAATTGTTTTAACTAGTGAACTGCGAAGTTTTAGCTTCAACATGAACCTTTGATTTTGTTAATCGGATAAAAAGAAAAAAAAACGATTTATTTTCTGAGACCACGCTATAAATAAAGGAGATGAGCGAAAAGGTCAAACACTTCTTTCGAGATACGAAGTTTATTTTAGCATTAAGATGCAAAACCTAATTTTTTACGGCATTGTTTCATTTGCCACCCTGTATAAACTTTATCTGAAGCACACTTATTTTGCAAACACATGCACTAACCGAAAAAGGCGCTAAATAACGTTTCAAACAGAAATCAAATCGCCCTGAGTGACCAGAATTTATACATTTTCAAACTTAGTCGAAATTTGTCCGTGTAACGCCTATTTTGCTGCGTAGTTTGTTTTAAGACTGAAACCACTTTATTTTCCTTTAGAGGCCCGATGATTTGACAAAAGAACAACTTTTCAGTAATATTTGTGTTCACAACGAATTTGCAATAAACTTTTTCAGTAGTTGGCTTCATCGGAGCTCTAAACGGGAGCAGAGTGATTTCAATCTGGAACTATCTTAAAAGCGAGTTGTCATTAATATAAAATAAACCACTCTGTTTTTTTTAGAGGCCCCATGATCTGACCAAAGAAATTGCAACTTTTTAGTAAAATTTGTGTTTTTTTTTTCATAGTTTCCACAAGGAAACCAAATTTGGTCTCGAGATTTTGTACGGCCTAACGAGCCGAGCTTGATCCGTAGCAAATTTCTTTGATATTTCGTCGAAAGACCCGCAGAAAATCGACCGTCTGTCGGTGTGTAGGCGAATCATCAAAATATTTTTGCCGCGGCTCAAGCTCGGCTCGGGTTCAGCTCGTTCGGTCATAGTTCAACATCAAATTGAATTGAAATAAATCACATGAGGAAACTTGGTCTTTTCAAACGTCCGAAACTCATCGAGAAATACCCAACCAAAAGGTTTTATAAGACCGAATTTGATGTTAACACATGTCTTTTCCTATCATCCAATATTTTGGTCATTTATTGAAGCACTCAAAATCTCTTTGTTTCGTGGTTTGTCGATTGAACCCCTTAAATTAACTTCTGGCACTTTCAGTTTGGTGTTGCTGTTTACCTATGAATCTTTTAGTGTAAGGTAACCGTTCTGTTTTCGACTTTAACAAGACTAATTGCCGTGAACGAGTGGTTTGGACGTAAAGTAGAACAATGTCGGATTGGAACCACTTCATTTAATTGTTTTGGAAAAGACTCAATCAGCTTACTTGCTGCCATCAATATAATAACGAAAAAAATGTTTTGTGTTAAATCAAGGGAAAAATTAAACGAGCAATAAAAGAAATGTCGTGAAAGTTCGTTCAGTGCGTTAAAAATGTTTACACCCTTTTAAGAACTCGAATTTCTTGGTTCCTTGGGCAACTTTTTATAAAGGAAGTCTGTTTCAAATATTTTGCTATTGAAGGCTGGTTAAAGCTTGAGCTGGAATTATTTACAAAGTGTTACGGACAACATTTACAAGTTCCTTCCCGATATTACTATAAAATTGGAAAATATTGTTATATGGGAAAAACCTGGCGATTATTAAGCTTCTGAACGACATACTTTTGAAATTTTAACACGCGTTTTTAAACAATTAATTGTTGGTTTACATACTCTACGTGAACACCTATACATACCGAACGATTTTATTTTGTTTGCGTTCCATACGGAGCAGTTTAAGTGTATTTTTGCCATCGGTAAAGAGCATGAAGTTTAATATATATCCATTCCGGCACTGTTTAACCAAGTGAACATTAACATTATAGGTAGGTACTTGTACCTAACAGGTTTGTTGTTATCTTATGGAAAAATTGTGAATTTTAGTACCTAATTGCGACATTTTGAAAGATTTGTACATAAATTAGGGCCTCATTTCAGTTGTGTGATTTGTTGCAAACCCTTAGGTGATCAGCTATTCAACAGAGAACCTCGCAGTGCGTTAAGTTTAGGTTCAGTGGGTTCTCGAAGGACTGTATACCTTTCAGAGGACGATACGGGATCAGTGACGCCAGCCTCCCAAACCAACGATGCAAATCATGCAGCGAACCCTCCTCTTTTGGTGTATAATCGCATTTCAACAGTCATTGGTGAGACTGGACTTTTTGTCTAATTTAAATCGCTTATTATTGGTTATTTTCCTCAGGCGATCCTAATCAAGTGCAAGTAAGTGGATCTCCATCCACCCAAGGCAATGCTCCTCCAACTACCGCAGCCGAAGAAAACAATTCAAATGCTCCAGCAGATAAAAAGGAGAAAAACTCTAAAGAAACGGCCGTTTGGTACGAATATGGTTGCGTGTGATGCTGCAGTCATTTTCTGTTTATTTTCTACTGTTTTACATCGTTGACAAACAACGAACTGCGGTTATACATACTGATCCGTGATAGAGAGATTTTAAATTATTTACCTTAAGGTTATTTATCTGTCGTGTGTGTTAAGTTAAATATTAACTTGAAGCTGGGTAATTTGATTCCATTGAGTTCCCCAGCTCTAAGCTGTTTTGTTTCCGTTCCTATTTCTTATTTATTGTTAAGGCAGTATTATTCTTTGAGTGTTTAGGGCTTGACTTGATCTCCAAATTGTTGAAAACACTTGGCGACACAATTTTATGCTTAAACTAGCGCGAATATTTATTTCGAAACGTGCAGGATTTTGTTGGTTTCACTACGTGTTGCAATCAATAAGTAAAGTAGCTTCATTCAGGAAGACCACCCTGTTGCCAGGCAGTGCCTGACGAACTGAGAAGACCACCCTGTGCCTGACGAACTTTTAAGCTTGTGGAATTTAAAACGTTGTGTAGTTAAAAAAATTTGTTTGCAAAGACTGGCAATGTACTGAGCAAATATACAGGCCTGCTACCCGTTTTTTTATCAGGTTTATATAAATATATTCCTGGGCAGAAAAGATTCGTTTTATCAGCGCCTGGATGGTTACGAAATCTTATTTAATGAAATGACGATTTTATACCTCTTGTAGTCTTAAGCACACATTTACTTACCTTTTTATATACGGTTTACCATTTCATAGTGATATTTCTATAGTTTTTGTACTTACTGTTTATGCTATGGTAGTTTGATAGATTGTGAGAAAACGTTGCCTTAATAGAACTATTTATCTAAATATAATTTTTATATGAAGGTTTTGTGTGTGCTTTACGACCATCATCAATATGCCTGCCAAACAGGAAAAACATGCCAAATTCGCAGGCCATAAGAACGGAAACTTTCTGGAGCATAAAGAGATCGCTTTCGTGGCATTTCTGGATAAAGACAGTTTATGATAGTCAAAGAAGTTGTGGAATTATACAATCAAACTATGTGTGTGTGTGTGTGTGTGTGTGTAAAAGTGGTTAACTTTTCGATTTAAAAATAACTATAAAATTGGTTTGTGACAGAAAATTCTTGCACATTTTCTAAAAATCAACTTTTTTGTTCAATCAACAAGGTTTTCGTTTTTTTAGTTAAGCAATTCCTTTTTCTAAAAAGGTCTCATTCAGTTCAATTGAGGTATCAAACCGATCAAAATGTTTGTGTTTCTATTCAATGTTTTTCTTTTGCGCCTAGAAATATTTGCTTTACTAAACACCACGATTGCAGAATATTTGACCAGTAAATCGGAGAAATAAAACATAAACTATTGAGTAAAACATAATTACGACCGTATGATTAGAATGGTTTCGCTTCAATAAGCAAGATTTTTCGCTCTTTTTGCAATATATTGATTATGTACAGTGGATTTTATAATTATTATTACAATATTATATCAATAATCCGGGCAGTAGTTGTTGGGTCTAAGGAGTATATTTTTTATTCTTGTGTTGTGTATTCTTTATTTTCAGTTGCAAAATCGACTCAAACATGCTTTTTTCGAAGATTCTCAAGAACCATTTAAGCCACAGAATTCGTTTTGGCATCGTTGGATAGAGAAATGAAAATTCGATTCAGTCATAACAACATGAGTGAGGAAATGCGAGTAGTTTTGACCTAGTTTTGCTCGTTTCTCTGAAGCAAAATGAGCAAGAATGCTCATTTTTACATCATTCGAGAGAGAACTAAATGGCCTTTTCATACAGGAAATCACCGACAAGGAAATGTTGGCAGTTTTCTCAAAAAAAGGATTGATTTCAAGAAGTTTTCGATGTGCGTGGGTTTTTTTGAGTTGCAAATTCGACTTTGATGATGCTGCTTTTTCGAAGTTTCTCAAGAACCAGAATTCGTTTTGGTATCGTTGGATAGAGAATTTAAAATCCGCCTCAGTGATAGCAACTTGATTGAGGAAAAGGATTGAAAAGATTATGTTAAAATTTCATGTTTCCGTCCCGTTTTTGCTCGTTTCTCGGAAGCAAAATGAGCAAGAATGATCTTTTTTACATCATTTGAGAGAGAACTAAATGGCCTTTTCATACAGTAAATCACCGACAAGGAAATGTTGGCAGTTTTCTCAAAAACGGCTTGATTTCAAGACGTTTTAGTTTTACGTGTCTTTTTTTGAGTTGCAAAATCGACTCACACAACATGTCGCTTCGTTTTTGGAAGTTTCTCAAGAACCATTTGAGCCACAGAATTCGTTTTGGCATCGTTGGACAGAGAATTGAAAATCGATTCAGTCATAACAACATCAGTGAGGAAACTGGAGGAGTTTTAATCCAGAAAGCGAAATATGAATACAGAAAACTAGATCTACTACTAGATTCTACATTGTGAAACGTAAGTGAATAATTTTGCCCGGAAGATCCCATTCAAAGTGTTTTGTTAATCAATAAAATAAACTTTACCGAGTTACTTCAAATTATCATTTTTTAAATCAAAATTATGTTTAAATTTATGGTTTTCCAATGGCGCTTACTTTGTTCTCGTCAAAGCTTCCCAATGTCTGCCTCTATGGCCTTATTCGTGCTATTACCAGCTCCTTCCTTATTGTTTCTCTTCTACCATGACAACTATCCAACATGGAAACGCTACACTTCGCTGATTAACTAACTCGCATTCGCGGTACCCAACATTTGATGGACAGTCGACCGACTACCAGAAATTGCCGCTCTTCCGGTCAACTTTTTCTTGCGGTTCTTCAATTACGTTTCTGTTTATGTGTTCAAAGTGAAGTGATTTTTTGGATCGGTTTTCTGGTAAGTCAAAAAATATTCACAGCAAACCATTATAGAGTAAGCTAATTATTAATGGAAGACGCACGTTTTGGTGTCAAGGAAATTTAACATTATTTGCTGCGCTTTTCTATTTTAACGTTGATTTGGGGAAAAGTCTTATTAAATAAACACCAAAGTTCAACATTTTCAATAAAAAGTCCATAAGTTTGGACTAGTAATTATAAGGTGATCAAAATGATTCTCCTCGCTCATTCGAGTCCTAACTATACTAATAATCCTTTTCGTATTTGCTCTTAAAACGGTTTCTCGTCCGCTAAAACTTGACCGTTGAAAAATCTCAAGATTTATTAACTTTATGTATTAAAAATCCATATTTTTCTTGTTGTTGTTTGTTGAATGTTTACTTGCCTAAAAATGAGACTTAATTAAATAAATAACTGATGATTATTTTCCATTCAATTGTAAGAAATGTTAATTTGAGAAAATTGTACTTTTTCTTCTCAAACTAAGAAAAATTTATAGATTTCTAAAAACTTCTCAATTATTTTTTCTTTCCAGTAATTAAACTGTAAAATTAAAGTAAATGTGAAAGTTTTCATTTCAAAGATTATGTCCACCTGATATCCAAAATAGAAGTTTTTCATGTGATTTTTTCTTCCAAAATTGAGCGCACCCGAAGTATGAGGTTTCTTTCCCTTTCAGCCCTTTCTTCGAAAATGATTCTCTTTCTATGCGTCAATTATTTCTTCTTCACTCATTTTCGAATTTTTTCCTCAGATTCAGACCAGTTGTTGCTCAATGTCTAACTATTTCTTCGGAAATGGTTTTTCGGTCTGGGCGTCAATCATTTCTTCACTCATTTTTAAAAATTTGCCATAATTTATTCAACGTCTAATTATCTTTGAAGACATTTTTTTATATTTTTTCGAATGTGGAGCCCTTTTCTTCGGATAATTTTCGTTTTTCTTTCAAAATCAAGCAGCCGAGGTTTGACACTTTTTTGGAAAATTATTGTCCTTCGGATGCGTAAATTATTAGTTATTTCTTCACTAATCTTCGTTTCATCTGCGCCCGCTCACGAAACTCCTTCTAAATTTCTCTGATCTAAAAACTTTCTAAATTTCTTCACCCGTTTTCTCTATTAAAATCAAAACCAAAAAATAAAGGTTGTGCCGCCAGATTCGTCCTAACTTTGGAACTCGATAACTTTTGATTCCTACGAGCGATTTTATTGCGGTTTAAAGCGTTATCCAGTCCAGTTCTTGTCTTTCGGTGTAGGTTTTTGGACAAATTTAGCGCCTCAGGTACAATTTCTACAGGGTGGAGAACAAAACAATGCAAAATTCCTGAAAGTTTGGCATCCCCCCACTGGAACAAACTATCGATTTTTTCATTTCCACACCAAAAGCATAAGGATGGAGCGGATATTTCAAAGCAGTTTTGAAATTTTTCGTCGGTTGTTTTTCTTTACAGGGTGATCAAAAAATCAACTTTGTGGTCTTGTACTGTTAAAACGTTTTCTGGATCCAAGATGGAAGAGGAAACTCCATAAACGACTGAAAACCAGAAGTCAATATACAAGGTTGCATTACAAATTGCCCAGATCAAAACTGCCCTGTTTTTTATAAAGGTAATTTTTAAAGAATCAGTTCAATCATGCCCCCCTGTATATGGAATTTTTGCCTTAACTCGACTATGAAGTTTTCGCGTCAAGATGAGACGGAAATTTCAAAAATCGGTTCGAAAGCCCCAAGTTTTAGCGCCGAAAGGAAAAACCGATTATTTTTTGGACTACCCTGTAACTAAACGAGACGGGCGAAAAATTCAAACGTTTTGAAATATTAAGCTTATATTTTTGCTTTTGGTGTTAAAATTTAAAAAAACGGAGTTTTTTCAACTGAGAAGATGGCAATCATTCAGAGATTGTTTCAATTTCTCAAACTTTGCTTGACGAAGTGGACTTTTGCAAAAGCACCCACCGAGAGAAAAACAACTGGTTTAGATAAATCTTCAAACCGAAACAAAATCGCTTGCAGCAACCAGAAGTTATACAGTGCCAAAGTCAGGGCCAATTTGCCCGGGTAACTTTGATTTTGTTCAGCCGTTTATTTGCGAGCGCTCAATTACACAGAGAATGAATAAAATTAATTTTAATCATTAGCAGGATTATGTGTTAATTTTCGTGTTTTTTTGGATTTGCGGAGGTCAAGGTTTTCGAAAAAGAGTTATTTGGCCCCACAAGCGAAGGCAATAGATTTCTGGGTCGGGGAATAAGCAGTTCAACATTTGGCTTGACTCTAAATTAGTTAAATAATCCTGCTCATAGGAAGATTTTATTGAATCCCTTTCAGAAATTCACTTTTTAAATACCTTGGATGTCTGAAAATGAGTTGATATCATTTCCTGCCATCAGGTTTACTATGCTTCCGGTAGACTGTAGAACACCCCTATAGTTTGCCATTGACCTCATGTGCAGTCACTGTTTCAGTCCCGGCTACTGCTTACACCAATATTTAATTACCGTGGAATATAGCAAATACGGGTTTTGTTTGTTTTTGGTAAAAATAATTACCAAAATCTTCATGTTTCAAGAGTCAAACCAATGCAGAATCGCGGTCAGACAAATCTATTGCGTTATGTTTCGGATTACTTATTATTAAAACATTAAAAATATTGTTTTTGCCTGGATGAAATTTAATATACATAAGATCTGCACCAAGAGGTATCTGAGAAATTTCTCAAACGTGAGTAAAAGTTTGGTAGACCAAATTTCAAATTGCATCTGCCTCCGCCAAGACGTGATTTAATGTGATGTTTTACGTGCACTTGCTGTAAAATAGCGAACTTGTTAAATTTTTTAAGGCAAGCAGAACGAATGTGCACCGTGAAATCGTCCGGGATAATGAAGAAAACCGCATAGTGAATCGTTGAAAGTCATTTTCATAACAGCCAATTTGTAATTTGTATTAGAAATTCGGTGTTTCCGATTCGAATGCATAATTCAGTAGGAAACCACTAAACTGCGGCTAAACTGATTTGAGTATTTGGAGAAAAAATGCGGTACTTTTTGCCGATTTCTGTAACGATCTATTTATATTTGCAGTATCCAGTCCGTTCAATTTTATTAACTTGTTTTATGCTGCAGATGACAGGAGAAAGCCAATTAAGTATTAGATTTTATATGCAACAAACTTGATTGGGCAAGTGCGCGTTTCTAAAAAAAGACCCAATAAATAATCAACACTAAACAATTTTTCAGTTTTATCTCGATGGTGTCGGAATTAAAATAATTTATATATATACATACACCCATTCCAATGCATCAAATCGACTACACAAATTACTAGGTTTCACCAATAGTTGAGACAATTTTAATCGAAATTGAGGGCAACTGTTAACTGCATTTTAAACCGTTTCATGGAACAGATAGATGGATAGATAATCTAGTACTGATTGACAAATTATACCGGGTGTCCTAAAGCTAGGGCGAGATACAGACACTAAAATTTAGAAACTCTTCCATGCCATTTTCGACATGAAAGAGTGTGCAGAATCATGCTTTAAAAAAAAGCAGCTACTCAAAAACCGTTGCGGCTGTAAAGTTGCCTCTTAGAACATCAAATGAGGCAAACTGGGTTCTATTAGAGTCGCAAGTTTCATACGTGTAGAGTTTTTGGCTGATTTTTGGTAAATTTTCCAAAACAGGGCAAATGCAAATTTTTGAAAAAATGCCACTTTTTGTAGATCTGCAGGCCTTTGAATAAAAATTCATTGTTCAAAAACGCTTAGAGCTACAAAGTTTCCTCTTACAGCATAAGATAGACGACACGTCGCTCTATGTCTGTGCAAAGGTTGATAAATGCGAGAGTTCGGACTGATTTTTGGAAAATTTTCCAAAACAGGCCCTTAACATCTTTGATGCGCAGATATTTAGAAGGTGCAAGCCTCTGGACCATTGACAAAATCTCTAAAACCTTTGAGGATGGACAGCTGCTTTTCACCAATTATATATAGAAAACTTCGGTTTAAGTCTGACGGAAAAAATATTCTAGTGGCATTCATGGGCGATTTTCGACACACTTTAGAAAAATGGCACTTCAATATTTTTCCAGATCTGCAGGTCCTTGAAGCAAAATTCATTGCTCAAAAATGCGTAGAGCTACAAATTTGCCTCTTACAGCATCAGATAAACTACACTTCGCTCTATGTGAGTGGAAAGTTTGATAAATACAAGGTTTTTAACTGATTTTTGGTAAATTTTCCAAAACAGGCCTTTAACATCTTTGATGCGCAGATATTTAAAAGGTGCAAGCATCTGGACAATACACAATATCTCTGAAACCTTTGAGGATGGACACCTGTTTTTCACCAGTTGTATAGAGAAAACTTCGCTTTAAGTCTGGCCGAAAAATTATTCCAATGACATTCATGGGCAATTTTATGCACACTTTTGAAAAATGGCACTTCAACACTTTGCCAGATCTGCAGGCCTTTGAAGAAAAATGCATTGGTCAAAACCTGTTAGAACTGCAGAGTTGCCTCTCGCAGCATCAGATAAAGTGCACTTCGCTCTATGTGAGTGGAAAGTTTAATAAATGCAAGATTTTTAACTGATTTTTGGAAAATTTTCCAAAACAGGGCTTTAACATCTTTGATGCGCGGATATTTAAAAGGTGCAAGCCTCTGGATAATGCACAATATCTCTGAAACCTTTGAGCATGGACAGCTGTTTTTAACCAGTTGTATAGCGAAAACTGCGTTTTAAATCTGGCGGAAAAATTATTCCAGTGGGCATATGGGCGATTTTAGGCACAATTTTCAAAAATGGCTTTTCAATTGATTTGACATCGTTAAACTTGGTTGATTTTCCCCCATATTTTTTAAACGACCCAAAAATGTGAAATCTGCCTTCCACCAAATCAAGTTTTACTCAAAAAAGCACGTGATTGGTATATAACTTTTTTGTAGCGCTAATAATTACGTAGATAAATAAAATCCCCTATAAAAGTGTGCATATAACA